ACAAAAGTCTGCTCATCACATCAGCCATTTTTTTAATCCAAATGTGCAGACAGACAATTCACTGTGAGGAAAAGGTGGGACAAAAAAGTGAAAAACACAAATTCCAAGTTGTATTTATAACAGTACTTCTGTTTCTAGAAGATGAGAGATTCAAAGTGAAATGATTTAGAGTAAGTGGCATGTTGTTTTGACCATGGTTTGTAGTAAAAGGTGGCTATCAATCCAGATGCATATTTACACGGAATGGGTAAGTCATCCATTTACATCCTTCTGCAATAAAGGGAAACAGCCAAGAGAAAGTTCTGGCTTGCAAATCCCCAACCTGAGTATATCTGAAGAATGAGTTGAACTAGAGAGATGTGGGATTTAACCACAGCTCAGCACTGCAAAACTGCATATGGGTAACCTTCTCCCTGTACGGCAAGAATTCTCATTTAGTGTCTGTTGGTGATTTTAGCAGCCTGGTTAAGATGCTCTTGCAAGTTCCTGACACAAGTTTTCTCTAATCAACACAGAACTGGGCTTATCTGTTGTCAATTCCATGTTAAGATACTTCCATCTGCCATTTATTGAAAACTTAAGTGCTTAGTCCAGTGCAGAAAAGCCCACCTAGTCACTGCAAAGAGAAGTGTAGGCAGGAGATAATACTGTGCCTACATTCCATAAGTTAGGTTTTTGAACTGAAAGTCTAAATTTGACTTAAAATACTTTGCAAAGAGGACCGTGGTTTCTCAGGATAAAAATAGTAATCAACTTCTAGCAGTTGAAAACACATTTGGTCCTTGTTGTATGGCATTTCCACTTCATGACACTTAAATCTGCACAGCTGAAGCAGTTCAAGATGCTGTCATAGACTGAGATGGCTAGAATGTAGAAGTACACTGACCAGTGGGTGCACCTTACTCCTACACAGCACTGTACAGAAGCTTGTGGTCTCCACCTACATAGCAGATAACACGAAATAGATTTCCATTGATGAAGTTAATTTAGAGCAAATTCACTAGAATAAGGAGTAAGCATATTTCCAAGAAGCAGTGGTGTGTGGCTTGAGACAGTACTAAATTTATCCTGTGCTTCACTTGCTTCACTTCTATGCATACTGAGTAAATCACAGAACTCAATATTCAAGTTCTCCCTGGTGCTTGCACAGTATACCCTTGCAACATCTTTCTGCCCCCCACTTAGAGTTGAGACATGTTTTTGGGGCTTAAGACTAAGCTCTCAACTGAGTTGGTGCATTTTCTGTGGCTGCTGCCAACATCACCTTGGTTGAGCATCAGGTTTCAAAACAACAAGAAAAGACAAACTAGCACTGTCCTACTCTCCTTGCCAGTACAGGATAACACTACCAGTACTTAAAGAGGATCTGGGATTATTTTTTGAGGGAAGCCATGGAGTCAAAAAGTTACAACTAGGCATGCCCAAAATATAAGCTAAGCTTCTGTCATCCAGAATGTGTAAGAATGGTTGAAAAGTCTACTTTATGTCCTTAATCTCCTTTGTCATCATCCCATTTCTATGCACGTGTGTGTGTTTGGAGGAGGCAGGGAGAAAGTCAGTGATTCTCAGGACCTATCCTGCCATTTCCAACAGTTTTCTACTTACCTCCTCTTCCATGTGCACATATTTAAGACAGCAGTACCAGTAGGTGCCAGCAATCATCACCATCCCATGCAGCTATGTGACACTCCCTACTGCTGTTAGCCTCCGTTCTTTATTAATACTGTAACCAGGTCAAAAGAAGCCAAGAGTGAGACCCACAAGTGTAGAAGAAAGGTAGAAATCATTTCCTCATGTCCATACCTAGCTCCTGTTGTCTGTTTCAGGCTTGACAGAGTAAGAATGGAAAAACAGGAGGAAGAACTAATGGGGTGAAGAAGGCAGAAGGTAACTGGTGCTGGCCAACTCTGTGATATTTAGGATAAAATAAATTTCCTGATAACTGCATTAAGATCCATTTTTGTGCTTCTAGATTGATGTGAAAACTGAAATGAGTGGAATGTGAGTGCTGACCTGGGGAACTGGAGCTGTGAATTTTGAGCAAGGTGGGGAAAATGGGTGGGTTGATATGGAGGGTCTGGAGTAAGTCCACTTTAGGAAAATTGTGTAACTGAAGGATATGGAGAAGACACTTCAGGAGCAGGTATTTCCAAAGGACACTCACTATCTCAGTAGCTTTCATTGCAGCTTTAGAGACAGATTCGGGTATTTTTTAATCTCACTTTCCTTCCCAGCCATAAATCGCCATTTCAAAGGAGTTCTCTCTTCACCACCCTTTTTTTTTTTTTTTTTTTTCCTGTAAGAAGCATAGCAACCTTAAGCTGTTAGCAGTGTTGCCTTGTCTTGGAACAGTAAAAATACTGAACAATAAGAACAAGCTTACTACTACAAGAGTCCCTGCCCAAAGATAATCCAGACCAGGAACTAGGAATTCATTGCCAGAAGAATTACTAGTTGGTATGTTATTAACGGTGCTATATTTCAAACTGGAAACAACTCTCCCAGTGTCTCACACAATTAATTTTTTAGTCTCCTAATCGTCTATACATATGTCAAACATTTTGAAAATCAGAACCTGTAATTGAGATGAGGAGGTAACATAATCTGCCCTCACCAAGATGATTAGTGTGGCCCACTGTCTGGGAGTCATTCTGAGATTGGTTTGCATACCAGACACTTTCTTTCAGGCTGGTAGTAGCAGCCATCTCACAAGAGCCTGACTCCTCTTCAGTGGCCACAGAAATGCTTGACAGTGAACAGTACAGTCTTCATGCAACTAAAATATAAAGGAGAGACTTACTGTTTCTGTCCTGATTGTTGAGATAGCCTAAAACCACGATTTTCTCTATACTGAGTAAAACCTGGAATTTTAGAAGTGTGTTATTAAGTTCAGAAACTGAGGGGGAAAAAAAACAACTATTACACACTTGTCAGCAATCAAAATAAAGTACACTGATTTGAGTAATCCTCTACTGTAAAACTATAAGTTAGTGATTGTGTGTCATTAGCCACAATGCTCAATTTTTTCACTATCATCTAACAGCTGCCCCATTCTTCTAATCATGATGAAGAATACTGAGCAAAGCCTCAAAGAAGGCAGTTGCACAGTGGTCTCCAAATGATCACCAGAAGTGCCCTGCAGAGAAGCAACTCCGAAACACTTCCTTAAACAGAAACATCCTTTATTTCCTTTTCATGAAGTGCTACCTCACTTCCTATGTAAACTTCTTTCCAGCTCCCCCTTCCCTTCTATTCCTTCCCTCTTAAGCACTCAACCACTTCTCTGTGCTCAACTGCACTCAGGCATACTCATCACAGTTCCACTTCTTATTCAGAAGTCCATATCTCCCCTGCAATGCTCAGCTTTTAAGGCTGTTCACTCTGGCAGGGTTCTTAGGTTTGTAATTGCTCTACTTACTTGAATTTACCTGTAAAGCCATTTCCACTGCTACCTGGTTTTGCTTTTGCCGTTCAATTCATTAACCACATACTTTTGCAACTGTTTTTGGCAAGCCTGTCACTGTTCTGTGTGCAGACAGCAAGCACCATGCTTGTTAACGAGAGAGCAAACTATAGGCTCTGCCTCCCAATTCACAGGTGAGGATGGTAAGTGCTGAGAAAAGTGAACCCTTAGACTGGCATACTTAATGAACAAGACTGTTTCTAACATGGTGAGGAGGGAAGAACTAGCACACAGCATCATAGAATCACTGAACGGCTTGGGTTGGAAAGGACCTTGAAGGTTACTCAATTCCAACTCCCTGCTATGGGCCGAGCCGCCATCCACTGGATCAGGCTTACCAGGGCCCCATCCAATCTGGCCTTAAACATCTCCAGGACTGGGCATCTAGAGCTTCTCTGGGCAGCCTGTTCCAGTGCCTCACCACCCTATAAGGAAAATAATTCATTCCTAATATCTAATCTTTTAGTTTAAAACTCTCCCCTTTGTCTTATGACTATCAGACCCCATAAAAAGTTGGTCTCCCTCCGGCTTATAAGCTCTCCTCAAGTACTCTAAGGCCACAGTGAGGTCTCCCTGCAGCCTTCTCTTCTCCAAGCTAAACAAGCACAGGTCCCTCACCTTTCTTCACAGGAAAAGTACTCCAACTCTCTCATTATTCTTGTAGTTCTTCTCTGGACCCATTCAAGAATCTCTGCATCCTTCCTGTACTGTGGCCCCAGGCTTGGAGACAGTACTCCAGATAGGGCCTCACGAGGGCTAAGTAGAGGGGACAATCATCTCCCTCACCCTGTTGGTCACCTCTTTTTTGATGCAGCCCAGGATAATATCAGCCTTTCAGGCTGCAAGTGCAGAGTGCTGGCTCACATTCAGCTTTTCATCCATTCAAGGCTGCCTTCTTATGCAACTCCCTTTTATGACTACTTGAATTTACTTGAGTATGTTCCTCGCCTAGCCTCCCCTCTCATCAAGGACACCAAAGGAGGTTAAGCGTTGTGGTGACAGCAAGGCACCATGATGCCAGGCTCATTGCACAGGACTTGAACAAGCATCACCAGGTGAGCTACTGAACACCTACGACACAAAGCTACCAGTCTCCTGTCAGGTTTCATCATAGTATGTGCGAGTCAGGAACGTTGCTCCAACATGCCCAGCAATCCCATTACGAGAGTGCATTCTACACTACTACTAATCAGTTTCTTTGATAGGGACTGAGCCACCTTCCTCTAGAGCTTCGCGCTCCACTCCTCCCATCCGCCAGCCTTCAGCACCAGCGGCTTCGAACTCACCGGCGGCTTCGTGCCTCCCCCGCCCCGCCCCGCCCCGCCCCGCCCTGCCCCGCCCCGCCCCGCCCCGCCCCGCGGGTGGAGGAGCCGGGCTCACCCTGGCCCGCTGCCCACCGCGGCGCCGCTGCCGCTCCCGCTGCGCCGCAACCGTCAGCTGCCCGCCTCTCGCTCCGGGCGGCAGGGAGCGCCTTCTCCGCGCCGTGGGCGGCGGCCCCACCCCTCACGTCGGCGTCGGGAGGCCGAGGCGGAAGCTGCTCGGCTGTGCGGCGACGGGCGGAAGTAGCCATGGTGGCGGCGGTGGGCATGGGGCAGCAGTGGATCCTGGTGGAGATGGTGCAGGCCTTCTACGAGGTGTGTCGCGTCTGCGGGGTGGTGGCAGCTCTGCGGGGTGGTGGCAGCTCTGCCGAATGGTGGCAAGCCGCTGCCCGAAGAAGTCGCGGCGGGGACACGGTGGCGGGTCCGAGGCACGGCCGAACCGACTGAGGTCTTTCGCGGCCTTTGGCCCTGGTGGTCGGGATTTCCTGGGACAGACGACTGAAAGCGGGGTTCCAGTTGGCCGGGTCACAAGAAGGAAGCGGCCGCGAGCTCGCGCGGAGCCTTGCCGGCGGCTCTAGCAGCGCCTTGCGCTTTCTGCTTCTGTCAAGGTGCCAGGCTGAAACAGATATATGGTGTTTTAAAGATGCAGAAAAAAGGTGCGCTCTGGAATGACTGTAGCGTGTGGACTTAGGTGAGCATTTGACTCGCCTCCGCTTAGAAACAGGCGCTTTTTTTTTTTTTTTTTTTTTTTTCCAAAACGGTGATTTAAGGTGCCGACAAGGAGCATCTTCTCCTCACCCTGTTGTTTGTGGCTTTTCTTTGATGTAGATCAGCAAGGCTGTCTGGAAAGAGTTGCTTATTTGTTTTCCTTCTTTTGCAAAACTAGGCTGGTGGTAAGGAAATAGCAGTCTCAGTTGGGAAGTCTAGTTTATTGGATAGTTCATTCACGAAAGTTAGATGTTTGGGTAAACTTTATTTTCAGTCAAATGTGAACAGATAATGTAAGTTTGGATTAAAGCTCTGTCTTAAAGCTGCATGGCATTGTTGGTAATGCTTGGCAAAATCCTAAGGGCTGGCTCAAAATGCGATCTCAAGATCTAGCACTTAAGGAAATATCATCTTTATACCGTGTTTGCACTTTGAGTCTTTTAAAAATAGTAGGCCATCTACTGTATAGACTGTGGCCTTGCTGAAATGAATTAACTGAACCTGTCCTTTAAACAACTTGTCAAATAATTTTTCTGTAACTCCACAAAGACCTTTAATTGCTTCTGCTACTGGACACAATTGAATTTCCTTCTTCTAAGCATCCAAAAATGCAGAGAACAAAACTTCTTTTGAGTATTGTTAGGTTATAACGCCTATTCAAAGTGCCTTTGAATGTAAATCAAGCAAAAATGTGTCCTGTGGACCAGATTAGATCTCTTTTTGTAAATACTAGCTAGTGTTTCTGCTGGTAGGCTTTATAAGCATCTAGGGTTGAAGTTGGTGTGTATAGACGACATAGACCTGGAAGCTCTGTCTGTGGTTGTAAAAACTTTCTGCTCTCATAGACACCGATGTGACCCACAGGGCTTATCTGTAGTTCCTTTAGTCATTATATTCAATATTCAATTAGTGTGTGATTATAGCTAAAACTGCTTAGCAATGTACTCTGAACATTGTTCATTAGCAGTAGGACGAGTCCATTCATACTCAACGGCTAAATGTGGTAGTTGTGAAGTGGTGCATTTTTATAAAATCCTAAGTTCTGTTGGAAACACATATCAGCTTTTGATCAGTTTTTGACTTCCTGAGAATGTAACTGGTGGAGACAAAACTGTCGGAAAGTATCAAACTAGTTCAAATAGAATTATGTTTAGTTCTTGTACTTTATTATGCTTTTTTGCTTTATTTTCAGGCTCCTGCATACCATCTTATTTTGGAAGGAATTCTAATTCTATGGATAATCAGGCTTATTTTTTCCAAGACATACAAGCTTCAAGAGCGATCTGATCTAACACCTAAGGTATAGTGTAAAAATATTTTTCTTTATGGAAACAGTTGATAAACATTGATGTGTTTGACATTGAACCACTGATGTAAAACAGCGAATTATGTTAGCTTTTCTTAGGATTTCAAGGGATAAAATTCTGAGTAAGGAATTGCTTAAACTCTTCAGTTTGTGCTTTTAAAGAAAGCATGGTATATTATTAAAAATGTTAAAAAACAATGTAACAAAATTAATGTAACCATGAAAGACTAATGATCCAGTAAAAAGTGACTTCAGTCTGGGGCAGTGAGTCTCTGAAACAGGTTGCCCAGAGAAGCTCTGACAAACAGCAATTAGTACAATTTGTTTTACGGATATCTCTGGGCTGCATACAATAAGTTCTTCCTGTGATACTTCTCATGAGACTTATAAGAAATTTCTTGAACTCGAGAGGTAAAAAGGAATGTTAATTCTAGCAATAAAAATTGTAAAAAATTACATTGTGTGGACACTGGATACATTAATTCTCAATTGCAGGGCACAGAAGAATAAAAGTGCTAAGAGCTGCATTATAGCAAAGGGTATGATTTGAGATATTAATTATTAATACCTCCAGTTTTTTTTACCTGTATCTGGTATTTCCTGGATGGTCTGCTCTATATGTTTCTGCTTGATCAGGGAGCTTGGACCTGATTACCTTCTGAAGTTCTTTCCAGCCTTAACTGTTCTTGATGGATAGCATAGTCTGAGGAAATGCTTTCTGGTGATATATTGAGATTATGTGACAGTTGATAAAGGAAATTTAAATTGGTCTGATCTGTGAAAATTGAAGGAATGTTTTCAATATAAACAGCTGTATTTGGAAGGAAATGTCTTGTAAAATAATGCTTATATGCCCTAACTAATGTACAGTGCTTGCACTATAATAACAATAAATATGCAATATGCAAAACAATTCTGTAATTATTTGAAAGTAAGCATAAATACAGCAGTGAAGCAAAAATGTGGATAAGCCTTCTACAGCTGGAGGAGTACTTAAGCAGATTGAAACATCAAAGCTGTGCTGGGATTCTGTTACTTTTCTGTAAGGTAGCTGATGTGAAAAAGCTCTTTTGCATGTGAAATGGCTGTAGGTGGGGAGGAAAATCTTAATCCTCACTAACAATCCTCAGATAGCTTACACTGATCTGCTTACTGCAGTATGGGATGCTACACAAGCAGGTTTTGGTCTGTTGAGCTACAAGTAGTAACATGCCAGCAAGGAGATGCTGCTTATGTGCTCTCTCCTTTGTTTAATTGATGCTGTGGTGCCCAGTCTCTGCCACACCAGAAAGAGTGACTGGGTTGTTTATATGCAAGCAGTGGAGATAAGTCAGCTCACACAGCAGAGCTCAGGCTACCCTTATGTCAGCCAGTTACATAATGATAGTTGGTGTTTTTCAATGACTTGCTGTAGGGGTTTCTGCCAGAAAAGAGCTGATTTCATATGATAAATATTAGCAAAGAGTACCACTATTGCACAGCCATATAGCATGATCTATCAGGACCAGTCTGACCTGGGAAACCAGAAGTAGATTATATGTTGTGCAATCTAGTGAACCTACAAGTCACACTTCTAAAACAATGAAGAAATCCACCCAAACGTGTTTTCTGGGTTTAGTCAAATGTGTAGCAATAGTACAGTGAAACCTAGGGAATTAGCTTTCAGGCTGACTGTTATCATTCATAACATTGCTTGCAGGTATTGCTATTGGTTCAATTAAAAAAAAAAAAATAAAATAAATGAAGCTCTTGAATAATTAACTAATAAACTGAAGTACTTTCTCTGACTGTAACGTCTTGATAGTTTGGGATTTCAGGAGCTACAAATAAATCTAGGGCTAGATAGAATACCAGACATGCAGATTCTCGTGGGCTTTTTATTTGAAGTAAAATCTACTGAAAAGGAGCAAAGGGCCAGTGAGGATTGGTGTGTGTTGCCAAAGATTGCATTCCATCATTTAGCTACAAATTCACTCCCATCCAACAATTTGTGCAAAAGGAAGTAACCTTGTGGATCTGACAGTCTGTCACTCTGCAGTAAATAGTACTGAGCTTTTCTCAATCTGTGAAACCTTACTGGGAGTCTTATACTTGTGTATACAAGAAAAAATTGTGGTTTTTTTTTTTTTTAATTTTGGAATGTTCATTATGGTAGTAGTATAATAAATTTAATTAGTGTAGTATTCACAGGGAGGCTAGAAAGTTCTTTTCAGAGAAGAATGTTCAATTCATGGCCAGGAAATAATGTTGGCCATGAGAGCTATCTCTTACACATGTAATGTTCAAGAATTGGTCAGGATCAGAAGGTATTTAAAGAGAAAAGCAGATGTAGTTCCTTCCTGTGAGTTTCCAGTTCTTTCAGGCCAAGATTCCGCTATAGCTAAAGACATTTACCAGCTGATGGCATAGTTCTGTAAATACCAATAACTTGAAGTGCTATTATTTGAGGACTGGTATGACTGAAAATAAAAAAAGGTATTATTAATCTTTACATATTGACACAGTTGTATGCTTTACACTGTTTCAAAACACTTGTGCTAGCAAAGACATGTTTCATAAAGATAATTGCTTCATACTAGCGAGGGAGATGATTATGCCCTTATGTTCTGCCCTTGTGTGACCCCATCTGGACTACTGTGTTCAGACCTGGGACCCCAGCACAAGAAAGATGTAAAGTTGTTTGAGTGGGTCCAGAGGATGGTCACAAAGATGACTAGAGGGCTCTTGTGAAGCAAGATTGAGGCAGCTGGGCTTCTTCAGATTGGAGAAGAGAAGGCTCTGAGGAGACTTCATTGTGGCCTTAGAGTAGCTGAAGGGGGACAACCGAAAGAACAGACTCTTTACTGGAGTGTATGGTGACAGGACAAGGAAGAATGGTTTTAAACCAGAAGAGAGGAGGGGTTATATATTAGTAAGAAGTTTTTTTCCTGGGAGTGTGGTGAGGTACAGGCTGCCCAGAGAAGGTATGGATGCCTAATCCCTGGAGATGGTCAGGGCCATATTGGATGAGGCCCTGAGCAGCTTGATCTGGTGGGTCAGAGCCCTGCCCATGGCAGTGATGTTGGAACCAGGTAGTCTTCAATAATCTTTTCAGCCTCGTGCATTCCGTGATTCTATGACTTTGTAAAAATCAGGGTAAAAAGAACAACAACTTGTTTAAATAATTTGGATTGGATGTGTTTACATCAAAGTATTTCTCTTAACAAGGTGCATGGTTTTAAATATTAAAACCCATCACCAATTAAAAAAAAAATGTGTATGTGTGTTTAGATATATAAAAATGTTTATACAGATTTTACCTACTTGTATAAATACTCTACTTTGTTTTATGAAACAAAACATATTTGTATTTCCACATAGGATATTCATAAACAAAAGTTCAATGTTAAAATATAAACATGAAATGTACGTGTCTATATAAATTAAAAAGAATTAGGGAAAGAACTGAGACATGAGTTTACTTATGTTGTGGCCTGAGAGAGAGGAAATTAGAAGTTTTTTTTTCCATCGAGTAGTTATTTTAAAGTACAGTGAACTGAAGAAAAATAAGTGAATCAAGTATATATTGAGAATGTTACAATGTTAAAGTCTGGTTTCTCTGTGTAGTTGAGAATAAATATTTTTATTTTTGATGTTGGTCTGAAATTAGGCACGTATTTAGAAGGTGCCAAGTAGAAGTTCTGAGAGTGAGGGTCACTGCATGAAAGCCTCTTTCAGCTATGGGTGGACATCAGATGGATCATCTTCTGCTTATTCTGGAAAATCTGGTGTATTGAGGTATTTGCTGAATTCAAGGAGGAAGGAGTATGGGCTGGCTTATGTGCACTGTGGATCTTTTTTTTTTACATTGATACTGTAAGCAGTGTGTTCAGAGGGCAAGGAGGGTGATTCTTCTCTACTCAAGACACCCGGATAACTGTTTTCAGCTCTGGAACAATCAGCATGGCATGAACCTGTTGGAACAAGTCCAGATGACCAGAAGAGCTGGAGCACCTCTGCTGTAAGGACAGGCTAAGAAAATTGAGGCTATTTGGCCTTAGAGGAGGCTCTGAGGAGACCCCACAGTGGCTTACCAATACCTAAAAGGAAATAAGAAAGCTGTGGAGGAAGACTGTGGTGGAATGTGGTGACGGGACAAGGAAAACAGTTTTAAATTGAAAGAGCAGAGATTTAGAATAGGTAGAAGGAAGAAATTTGTCACTGTGAGAGATGATACACTGTGCAGAGAAGCTGTGGATGCCCCATCCCTGGAAGTATTAAAGGCCAAGCTAGATGGGGCTTTTGGGCAACTGTGTCCCTGCCCGTAGCAGAGGGGTTGAAACTGGAAGAGTTTAAGATTTCTTCCAATTCAGACTATCCAGTGATTTATTTCATGTAGGAAAAAAAGGCAGGACAGTATCTTGTCAGTGGTTCGTGGCCTGCGATGCAGTTCCTGCATACTGCAGACCTTTCAATGAAAGGTGGGAAACTCCTACCAATTCACTATGAGTTACAAGGAGAAAATTACTAACTCCAAATTGCTCATTATGTTTACAGATGTCAATTTCACTTGCACTGTGTTAATTTAGTGTAGTTTCTTTCTGTAAATATGGTTTTCTTCTATAAATACAGTTTTTTACCTGCTACACTCCTTTTCAAAAAGATTTTCATTCAATTGACGTTTCAATTGTTGAGCCTCTGGGTGTTTTTTTGTATCCTTAAAAAAAAAAAATAATCCAGATTTTAAAAAAAAAAAAGCAAAATACTTACATGGTTTTGATTCTGCCTACTTTGAAAAAAAAAAAAGATACTTCATCCTCTGCCTTTAAGCTTCACTGTATGAAAGTCATAAAGATGTTTTTTGAAATTAAATGTTAACCAGCTCTACAAAAAATGCACCACACTTTGTAAGTTCTTCTCCAGTAGGCAGTGGAACTTATATACTGCTCTTCTCTTTTGTCTGTCGGTAACTGACGGGCTGCAGCATTTCTCATCTACATTAGGCTTATTTCTGAAAATAATTTAAAAAGTAGTGTAAAAGAGATGCAGAACTGTTGGTGCTGGCTACACTGTGTCTCAGGGTTTTGAGGTGAGGCCTTTATCACCAGCTACATTGGAGCAAACTGCAGTCTGCATGGGCAGATCCTGTTTTCTGATCTTTAGAAGTTTTTCTGAAGCATTATGAGAAGGTATGGAGTACTGCTGGACATCTTTCATTCAGGATTTGTTTTTGTAGTTAGTCAGTCTAGGTTGGGACTACTTTATTGTGGCCTTTAGCTTAGCTGCATGTCTGTGTTGCTTTTGCTGGATTTGTTTTCATCTGTATCATTTTTCAGAAGGAGGTTATTGTCTGTTTCATGACTGCCTGTGCTAAGAAAAGGAATGGAAAAGTATTTGTATCTTAGAGAGGACTGTACCGTAACAGCTATTGGTTTACAGTGCTGTGGATCAACACCCATAGTATGAAATTAGATCTTTCATAATAGCTGTTTAAATAGCTATGTGGTACAGAGTTGCACATGAATCACAGAGTCATAGAATGTCTTGGTTTGAAAAGGACCACAATGATCATCTAGTTTCAAATCCCCTGCTATGTGCAGGGTCGCCAACCACCAGAGCAGGCTGCCCAGAGCCACATCCAGCCTGGCTTTAAATGCCTTCAGGGATGGGGCATCCACAACCTCCTTGGGCAACCTGTTCCAGTGTGTCACCACCCTCTGAGTGAAAAACGTCCTCCTAATATCTAACCTAGACCTCCCCTGTCTGAGTTTAGAACCATTCTCACTTGTCCTGTCACTATCAACCTGTGTAAATAGTCATTCCCATTTTGTTTATGTGCTCCCTTTGGGTACTGGAAGGCCACAGTGAGGTCTCCTCAAAGCTAAATAAGCTCAGTTTCCTCAATCTTTCTTCTTTGGAGAGATGTTCCAGCCATCTGATCATCTTAGTGGCCCTCCTCTGAACCTGCTGCAAGAACTCTATGTCCTTCCTGTACTGGGGTCCCCAGGCCTGGACGCAGTGCTGCAGATGGGGCCTCACAAGACCTGAGTAGAGGGGGACAATCATCTCCATCTCCCTGCTGGCCACCCCTTTTTTAATGCAGCCCAGAACACAGTTGGCCTTCTGGGCTGCAAGCACACACTGCTGGCTCATGTCCAGCTGCTTGTCTGCCAGGACCCCAAGTCTTTCTTTTCAGGGCTGCTCTCAAAGAAATCTTCCTCCAGCTTGTATAAATACCTTGACCCAAAATCAGAATATCATTGTTTGTTTTGGGTCAGTTTAGCAAACAGAGTTAGGTTTCTTGTTTCACGCTGAGAGTAACCTGAATTCAGGTAATACTTTTTTCACCATTTTGGTGTTACTGATGTTATATGCATCAATCTTTATAGGATGCTTTGTCTAGTAATCTGCCATCTGAAGTTATTTGCTGAATCTTGTTGAATGTGAGATTTACTGTGCTGTAATAAGTAGTAGTATATGGATTAGCATTTCAGTGCATGTACAACTATTTGCAGGGCTCCAGTGATCTCTTCTGCAATTGCTGAAGAAACTAAGAACCTTTTCTTACATGAATATGGCCATTTCAAAATAATGGATAAATTGAATTGTGTATTGTGTTATGTGTAATGGCATTTTGTTTCCTTTAAAGCATATGTCCCTTGGGTAAAATTAGAGTTAAAAAAAAAAAAAAATCTAACATGAAAAAAATAAAATGAAAAGGTATTTAAACTACTGCATCAGCAAAATATTAGAAATACAGATAACTATGTCCACATAAAAAGTGAATTTTTCATTTGTCTTTTGAAATAGACCTTTGCAGAGTTCTTGGGATACTAATTTATATATTTATTAATACTAATTTATATTCCAGAAATACTTAGAAACAAGATTATTCATTAGCTTAATAAAAAGAAACTGATGAAAGTGCGCAAAAGTAAGCACTATTCTGGCATGTAGTTTCCCTTTGATTTTAATTTGTTCTTGTACACTGAAGGTTTGAAAGAAAGTATTTAATAAAAACAACAACAACATTTCCAAGTTATTTTAAAAAACTGATTACAATTCTGTTATTCAGGTATTAAAATAAGTACCTTTAAAGATTCTATGGAAGTGTAACAGCTTTGTTGTCAAAAGTTAGTTAACAACGCTTACCTTATACTAGTAAATAATCCTCTTTTAGAATTCTTCTTGGTCGCTATAAAGAATGGTTTTGGTGGTTTTCCTTAGCAGTTGCTTATTTATGTGGAACTGGTCTAACGCAGCTGCCTTGCTGGTCCACCACAAATCTTTCAGAGATTCATTTAACTGATATTTTCTTGTATAGAGTACTTTGAAGATAAATATGCATTGGGTATTCTTCCATGATGAGATGGAGTGATGTGTGGTTTAGTTTTGTTGCTGTTGCCTCTTCTATGTCTTAAGTGTTTGGCAGTTTTTATTTTCTGGTGTGTCTTGATCATGTTTGTGTTGCTTTGCTTAGTATTTCAATGCCAGAGTTCTTTGAACAGCACAGTTGAAGACTTGAGAATGTGGAGTGTGGCAATTTATGTTCAATTGTTGTATGATTTGTGTTAAATTACATAGTGTAGAAGATGATTTTGATAACTAGAAGTAGACTAAATTAAATATTGATTGAATTTGTCAGGGACACCAAATTTGTATCTCTGTTCTTAATTATCATGAGACTTTTAATGCACCATCACAGTGTGTTTTTTACACATTCTTCCCTTTGAAGAACTCAGAGATTGTTGGTTGACCATATAGAGATATTACCAACCATGTGTCTCAGAAAGGTTATATGTAGTAGGGTATGTAATTTACTGCATAACTATTAACAACTGTCCATTTGAGTACAAGGACTTTTGTAGTGGAAATCCATTTTGAGCAATTTTCTTTTCTGTTCTTCAGGAAAAAGAAGAGTTGATTGAAGAATGGCAGCCAGAGCCTCTTGTTCCTCCTGTATCAAAAGATCACCCAGCTCTCAACTACAACATTGTTTCAGGGTAAGTCTAACCAAGGTAATTTCTGTTTTTTACTTTAATTAAAATATTTTGTATCCACATTTTAAGCATATTAATAGCAAACTATTTCCATATCCCTAAAATCATTTATAAATTAATTGCATTTTTAGGGGACAGAACTGAATTTGCCACTGAAGAGAAAGTCCTATTTTTGGAACCTTATCAAGATCCTTATTGAAATAATCTTTACCTCTTTGAATGTTTTTAATTTAGGGTTTTAGTTTGTTTTGTTTTTAATATTGAATGGATACTTTTGTCTTTGTCTTCATTCTGGTCTGTTTTTTTGATGGTAATTTGGTTTTAATTTTTTTTCAATATTAGCATGTTGTATACTAACTTTGAGAAAGAGGTTAGGGGATTCTGTGATCCTGTGAGGGGGATGTGTGCAATTAGAAGACACTGCAGGAGAAACTGATTTTTTGCCTAGCTAATTGGCACTTCATGAAAAATTATTCTTGAAATAATCAATTTGGACCATCAGAATGCTTGATGTGAAATTTGTTTTGAATGTACTGCCAGTCTCAACTGCTTTGCACGAGTCCAGGCAGATGATACGAAACGCTCTTCCGTTATCATCAACACTATAATCCTGTTGTAGAAGGTCACCAAGTTAATTAGGATTTGCCATTAGTGAAACTATGTTGGTTGTCACTTCTCTATTCTCTGTTTAACTTAGCCTTGTTTCCAGGAGTATCTGTTCCATGGTCTGCTGGGTAGAAAGGTGAGACTGACTGATCTGTAGTTTCCTGGGTCTTCCGTTTTAATAGTGATGGTGAAGTTTCCCCTTTCCCAGTCACTGAGATCTTCACTGGATTGCCACAGCTTCTCAAATGTGGTTGATCAAGTGGTATCCATCTCTTTACAGTTCACTTGGGACCCTTGGATGTGTGTGTTAGGTTGCACCTGTACATACTCAGATTTCTCAGGTGGTCTCAAATCTCATCACATCCTTTCTTGAATGACTGACTCTTCATTGTCCCTGTCTTTGCTTTTGCCATCTGTGGCTTGGATGATAGTTCTCAATTTTGTTATTTGTCAACACATAGAGAAATAGACAGATGTAAGGTTTTGTAATTGGCTTAGCTATGAGTTTCAGCACTGAGTGATTAGTTGAAGCTCTTGAGGTTATAATATTGAAGTGTATATTTGCTGAAACAAGATTGCTTTTAGAATACAGAACATACTTAAATTTAAAGCAGAAATACCTGTTTTTTCTTTAATTGCAATAATCTTTTATCTAAACCGTAACTTTTAGTGCAGATTTTATTTCTGTTCTCTGCTTATTATGTTGTTGTTCATTTGTTAATACTGCATATTTTCATGGTTTTTGTATTTCCTGATTACATGGTTTATTTAAACAATTATGGTTTAAAGAGAGTTGGAAACTCAATTAAACAGAATACTTATGTTTGTTTACAGTTAGCACAAGGCAGTAGAGGTTGGTATTATGGATTGCTTTATGATAAAAACATAGGTTTTCTAGAAATATTCAAGGCCTGTCTGAATGCCTGTATGTGCAGCCTGCTGTAGGGAGCCTGCTCTGCAGGGGGGGTTGGACTCAATGTCATCTCTAGAGGTCCCTTCCAGCCTCTGCAATTCTGTGATTCTGTGAAGTTTTAAGTACATTTTTATTGTGCAAGTAACTACCAATACAATTTCATTTTTATTCTTAGTACTCTTCCAAACAGATATAACTTTTAAGCTGAGAAGCATTTATCCCTGCAAGAGTCGTCTTTGTATGAATTAAGTTCTCAACAAAGAATCATGAAACTAAATAGGAAGATATTTAATAATACTTTATGAATATACAGGAGTAATGATTTTGCTGAGTTTAGCCTTAATATTAAACTTAAACATCAATTGCCAGTTAAAGAATAATGGAAATGAGGAGTATTTAGAACACTTGGTTAATAGGAAAAATGAAACTTGTGTGCTGTTGAATTGTTTATGAAAATCATGAATTTTCATTTATAACAATAGATCTCTATTAATTTTTTCCAGTCCTCCTACCCATAAAATCATTGTTAATGGCAAAGAATGTATTAACTTTGCATCATTCAATTTTCTTGGACTTCTGGATAATGAGAAAGTTAAGGTGAGTTCCAGTTACTTTACAGTGTGACAGTAGGAGCTGTGCTGGTGTGCTTCCTTGAAATTGAAAATTACTTCAGAAAGCACAAACTTTGCCAAGGGAATATGCTTCTAAAGCAGTAAATCTTATAATTTTGTGCTACTTGTCTTTTAACTGAAGTTTTATCTGATAAACATACTTGGAGCTAGCCAACCATTAGATTAGTATGTAATATTCTTGGTCATTAGAATTAAAAAAAAAAAAAGTCAACATGAACTCTGTAGAAGAATTAGTTACCAATTGCTGGGATAAATATTTCACATAATTTGTTTTATGTTAAAGAGTGCGGCTCAAGCGTCTTTGAAGAAGTACGGTGTTGGTACTTGCGGACCTAGAGGATTCTATGGTACTTTTGGTTAGTAATCTTTTTCTGATTTGCCTTTAATGTTTTTAAGACTGGTGTGGTAAGCTAACTAAATTAGTTCTGTGTGTAAGAAACTAATCATTTCAATTATTGTGAAGAAATGAAGTTATCCTTTAAAACAGTTTTTACTATAATTGGTAAGGATTGATAGCTAGCAATTTTGTTCCATTCTTTTTTTATACCTTTTCGTAATCTTTCTTACTTTCTAATGCTGGTGTTGGTGGAAAGTTTAAAAAAAAACAAAAATAACAAAACTACCACAACAACAAAAACAAAAACACCAGAAATTTACCAATCCTGGTGAATTTCAGTGTAACTTAGAAACATGTTTCTAAATAGACCACAAGAGGGCAACCTGATTTCTGTTTTCAATGGTAAATATTACTAATTTTATCTAAGCTTATCTAATGCTGTAGTCATAATTAAGTTTTTCTTTACTGATTACTTTATAGTTGTAATTTAGAAATTTTATCATGTGAGAGGGTGTTACTGAGGGTTTTCTTAATTCTGGTTAGGAAAAAGCAAGTTCTTAGTCTCTGGAAGTAGTTATTTACAGACATTGATACTGAAATACTGCTTGGAAACCAGAGAGTAATAAATGAATAACTGTACAGTTGGATGCTAAAAGCATCAACTCATTATCTTGTGAACTTTTTTGTCTTGTCAGAGGTATTGGAATTCATGGCGTGTTTGTACTCAAGTGATTTTTGTATCTTCGTTTAGCCTTGGCTTTAATTCTAGACTATTTAAAACTTTTTCAGGCTAGTCTTTTGAGTGATTGAACTGTTGCTCTACCTACTTCTTAAAAATGTCTATTTATCAGAATGAAGCTGAGTATTTGACAGCAGTCTTAAGAAACTTTCTGTTAATCTGTAGCTGTGATTCATTCCTTAAAAAAATAAAAGGGATAGCAGTCTGTTACTTGTGAGCTTTTATGAAGCTGCATTCCCTCAGTGACCATAGTTCCACATGGATTTGTTAAAATTCAAACAAGGTTTAAAATACACTGGAAAGCTCAAAGAAACTTATGGACTCTTTCTGTTGTAAGTCCAGGTTGAAATTAAGTGTTGTGAAATCCTGATTTTAGTGCTTCTTTGAAGTAATTTTTTAGAGCAGAATGTAGCTAGAGTACATTTTCTTTGCTAAATGAGAGATTCTCTGGTTTGTTCCCTGTCTCCTTTACAGGTGTAATCCTAAGTTCCAAACTGTTTAGCTTTTGTCTTTAATTTGACTACTGTTAATTGGTTCCTTTTTATGAGTAATAAATACACCATTTCACGAAACAGGAGGTATAATCTATGATATTGCTGCATGACATCACCAGTGAAGTGATCTTAAACTGAACTTTCTGAGATATCACTTTTCACAGGAAAAGTAATGGAGAAGTGCTTATAGTTTCCTCCTGCTACTGTATTGTATTTAATTGATGATTGTCACTCAAAATTATCCCCTTTATAAGTGCTGATATTTCATGTTAATATTAGAGGACTTTCTATTCTTCTCTCTGCCTGTTTATGGGGATTTTGTAGATTCAATGAGTTCCTATTAAGAGATTGTACATCTCAGAAGTGCATCCCTGTCTTTAGCCTTGAAATGTTTGTATCTTCACACAAATCTGAATCTGTACAGTAATGTTCTCTCTATTACAGGTGTGATGTGTGTCTGTGCTTTTGAGGGTGGTTTTTGGTTTAGTACTTCGGGGATTTTTTTTAGGCTGTTGGTTGGCTAACATTTCAATACCCTTCAGAAAGATGAAGACCAAAACAGGCTACCAAATAAAATGCATGAAAGTAGATGTGGGGCTTTGGTCTCAGTTATTCTGCTCTTGACTTGCATATGAGTACATGCTGAACAGTAAATTGGTACTTCACAGCTCTTTTTTACAGCATTAGCTTAATTAAGGTTTTATATGTACGCAGAAAGATGTTAACAATCATATCTTTGTGCAAATATAATCTATGTAGTGTTCTCAGTTAATGTAGATTAATGCAAGTGATGTAACCAAATGAAGGCATATAATAGCAATGAAGAATAGAAAATCAAGTAATATTCTGTTTTTATCTTAGTAGAATGGTAGTAAAAACAGAGCTGTAGACTTTTCAACCTTGCACTTACATAAAGCGTTCATTTCATTAAGTGACGATGTATCAATTTTGTGTATGCTATGTCTTTGTTATGCTATATATATATATATATATGCTATATATATTTGCTATGTTCTGACCTGTGCTTTTTGTCTTCAGTACAACTAACATTCTATCCGCGGTAGAATATGATAGATTTATAAAAATTTGGATCTTAACATGAGAATGGTTAAGATCAAAATGGTTAAATGGTTCGCCATCTGGTTATAGCTGACGTACTTCTTTTTGCCTACTGTTCATACCACGTGTTCCCTCAGTGTAGTGTTTGCTGTTGCTGACTAAAGTTCAGTGACAAATGTGCAAGCTTTTTATTTTTTAATTGTGATGACCTCTTTATCTCTGCCAATTTATTAGTTAGAGAATGTAGTGGTCTTTTATACTCAAACAAAGCATTTTTTCTCCTTTAGATATTAATAGCTGAGCTCTCAAAGCAATATTTTTATTCTTGTTTCCTCTAATTTTTAATTATGAATTTAGAAAAGCCAAGGCACAGATGGAACTTAACCTGGCAAAGAGAGTAAAAAAGAGCAAGGGATTCTGTAGGTGCATTAGTCAGAAGAGAAAGAACAAGAAGAATGTATTCCTTCTGATAAATGAGAAAACTGACAACAAAAGACATCGTGGAGAATGCTGAGCTACTCAACAAGTTGTTTCAGTCTTAGCTGATGATCAGGCTTCCCACATCTCACATCCCTGAATCACTGGGTGGGGGCTGTGGGAACAAAATCCCTCCTAAGTAAGAGCAAAGCAACTCTGAGACCACCTGATGAGACTGAATGTATACAAATATATGGGGCTTCAGCAGTCCTGAAAAGAAAGGAGTGTTGATTGATAAAAGATTCAACATGAGCCAGAAGTGTGCACTTGCAGCCCAGAAGACCAACTGGGTCTGGGTTGCATCAAGGGAAGTGTGACCAGCGAGGGAGGTGACCTGCCCCGCTGCTCTGCTCTCGTGAACACCTACCTGGAGTACTGCATCCAGTTCTGGGACCCACAGCACAAGGACATGGAGTTGTTGGAGCATGTCCACAGGAGGGCCATGAAGATGATCAGGGAGCACCTGGGCTGGTGCTTTTCAGCCTGGAGAAGAAAAGGCTCTGAGGAGATCTTGTAGAGGCCTTCCAGTACCTGAAGAGGCCTACAGGAAAGCTTGGCAGGGGCTTTTTGTAAGGGCAGGTAGTGACAGAATGAGGGGAAATATCTTTAAACTGGGAAAGGGTAGATTTTGTCTAGATAAAAGGAAGAAATTCTTTACTGTGAGAGTGGTGAGACGTTACAACAGATTACTCAGTGAAGTTCTGAATGCTCCCTCCCTTGATGCGTTCAAGGCCAGGCTAGATGGGACTTATAGCAAACTGGTCTAGAGGGAGGTGTCCCTGCTTGAGCAGGAGGAATTGGAGCTAGATGATTTTAAAGGTTCTTTCCAACCCAAACCATTCTTTGATTCTATGACATACATCCCAGGGACCTGAAAGAACTGGCTAATGTAGTTGCCAAGCCACTCTCCATCATATTTAAAAGGTCATGGTTCTCAGATGAAATCCCCGATGACAGGAAAAAGGGAAATATCACTCTAATTTTCAAAAAAGATAGAAATAAACTGGAAAACTACAGGCCAGTGAGAAGTGCCTGAGAAGGTCATGGAACAGATCCTGCTTTTGTTGAAGTATATGCAAGATGAGAAGATGATGTGAGGCAGACAGCAGGTCTTCGCCAAGGGAAGATTATGCCTGACCAATCTGGTTGCCTTCTGTGACAGTGACTTGTCAGTGGACAAAGGAAGAGCAAAGGATGCCATCTACCTGAACTTCCGCCAGGCTTTTGAGGTTGTCACACACAACAACCTTTTCTTTAAGTTGGAAAGATATGGATTTGAAAGGATGACTGTTCATAGGTAATTAATATATTTGTTGGCCACAGCTAGGCAGTAGTGGTCAACAACTCTATGTTCTGATGGAGGCTGGTGATGATGTGAAATTGTTCTTGACAACTGGGAGACTGTGAGAATAGGTAAGCTGAAAGCGACCTTCAAAGATACCGTGTCCAGCTACCTGAGCCCTTCAGGGCTAACCAAAAGGTAAAACATACTAATGAGGGCATTGTGCAAATTCTTCTTGAATGGGGCATCAACCACCTCCCTAAAAAGCCTGATCCGATGTTTGACCACTTTCAGAGTAAAGACATTTTTCATAGTGTCCAGTCTGAACCATCTCTGCTGCATCTCTGTGCTGTTTCTTTACATCTTGTCATTGGTTCCCAGGGAGAAGACATCAGCATATCCCCAGCTTCCTCTCTGCAAGAAGTTGCAGGGAGTGGGGAGGATGCCTCAGAGTATCCACTTCTCAGACTGGGCAGCCCTGGTGTTCTCAGCCTTTCCTCACGGTCCATGCCTTCCAGCCCTTTTACCAGCTTTGGTGCCTTCCTTCAGGAACATACGAGTGTCATAACATCATTCTTTTTTGTGGAGCTTAGAATTACAAATAGTATTCAAAGTGAGGTTGCACTGACATGGACTGTAGTGAGATAATCACCTCTTCTGATCATGTGGCTGTGCTGTCTTTAATGCATTGTGGTTAGGCTTCTTAGCTACTGAGGCACTCTGCTGGCTCTTGAACCTGCTGCCACCAGCACTCCACATCTCTTTGAAGACATTCTAAGGATCTCTGTTTGCCCCTACAACTTGTGTTTTTTTCACTTGATGATTCTCTGAATAATATTTTGTAGAAGAGTCTTGCACTGACAATGTTTTTGAATGATTAAAATAATCATTTATCACACAGAGAGGTTATTTTGCTTAGGCACAGTACCTAATGCTTTCGTTCACCTTTTTACCTCTGGCTGGTTCTAATGCAACAATTTATTCACTTGTGTTGTATTGTTCATGGCATTTCATTTCTAACACAGACCATTCTCACTGAATTGGTTTGGAAAATGCATGTGTGTATAGTTGTTCAAATTTATTTTGAGGATCTGTGGCGTAGAGAAGGCCACCTTTTGAATTAGCTGTATTGCATTCAGGAAGTAATATGTGATTGCACATAGTCTGAGAAGGGCAGTTTTCTGTTGTAATGATAGCTGTATTATATGCAGTGGAAACATTAGCTTGGAGGAACTGTCAGCCTGCTAGCAAGACTGAATTAATTACTATAAATTAGGTTGCTGTTTATTTTCTGCTGAAGTAATTATGTTCCCTAGTCACTGACCAGGAACCCTGCCTCATTTACATGTGATCTAATCAAAAGCAGATCTTAATTACCATTGTGTAAGAGTATGAGAGAATCACATTACTTAAATATTTTTCTAATCTTTCGAAGTTTTGGTTTAATATTGGTTTACTTGTCGTTTTAAGCAAGTTTTAATTAATTGCAGGTAGGTTTGGTGTGTGTTTGTTTGTTTGTTTTGAGAAGTTACTTTTTGTAAAACTTTTCCTACAAATGAACAGTAATTTAGTTTAGTTCAATTAGGTCATTTCTAAAAGCAAGGAGTTAGTCTTTCTGATATGAAAGCAGCTAAGCTGCCTTAGGACTTTTTATTTTTTCACTCTAATAGACGTGCACTTAGAATTAGAAGACCGGCTAGCAAAATTCATGAGGACAGAAGAAGCTATTATATACTCATATGGATTTGCAACAATTGCCAGTGCAATTCCTGCGTATTCTAAACGAGGGGACATCGTGTTTGTGTAAGTATTGTTTTCTCTCTGGAGAATTACAGATTCAGGAGTTTTTCTTCTGATGTCTCGCTTTTATTATTGTAAATCAAATTAAACCATTTGTTTAGAAAATGATGCCATTTTGGATCAAGTATTTAGTTGTAGAAAGTTTAGATACTCCTTTGCCAAATATTTCAAATCAAATCAGTCACTGCTTTGTTTGAGGGAAAGACTTGAGCAGACTTGAGCACTCAGCTTAACAACAACAACAATGCATCCAAACAAACTGAAAAAGACTTAGACTTGTGTATGCAAGGATTAAGTATGATATCTAGATTTTTCCCTAGAAAATGTGTAGTTGTATTTGATTTTCTTCTACTTCCTGCTGACATTTTTTCCTTTCCTATGTGGCGGTTGTTCCTCTCATACATATCTGCAAGGAATTGCTTGGGTAAAGATCACTGTAAACAGAACATCTAAAAAGGATCAAACTAAAGATTCAGCAAGCACAGTATATGGCCCTAGGAGTAACTAGTCATAATTACTACAGGGACAAATAAAGAAATAATAGCAAAACTCAGAATTTCCTGAGGCAAAGAGGAGGGCTTGGATTCTTTAGAAGTTGGTGGATTTTATTATCTTACAATTTTTTTTTTTTTTTTTTTGTACCTAAGAATCTAATAGTCAGAATACTCCTATGGATGTGTAATTTCACAGTTTAACTTGAACTTTCTATGAATAAATATCTTTAAGTGTTACACTTACTGATTAAAATTGATGCATTTGATTTTTAGAGAATGAACTGATGCTGTTTCTTACTTAGTTGTGCAAAAAAGCACAACTTCTGAATCAGTTGAGTTGTTTGTATGTTTTTTGAGATAAATGACCAGTACTGGATATTATATTCAAAGTGTCACTGTATCCAGGAGTTAGGTTTCAACTATTTCAACTTCTCTGCAACAAAAGATCTTCTCACTTTACTTTAAAGTACCTTGTTTGAAATTACTGCAGTTAGCATGTGCAAAAAGTTTGGTTTAGTTGCCACCTTAAAAGGTTGCTGGACTTGCTTACCTACCTATGAAATTGCATACCACATTATACCCAGAAGTTTGCTTTTCCAGGACTTAGAAATGGTGGGTAATTCTTTGATCACCAAGGCAGCAATACCTAAGGGATATTAAAAAGAAAGTTTGAGATTATTAGAGGACCTGATCACTGCAATTTTATACAGGCACATCTTTGTAACAGAACAAATGGAGTGAGAGCTTCTGGGATGACTACCTGGTCCATGAAATATGGTGCTCCTATGAATTGCTGTCACAAAAGGACCAGTGTACACTTAAAGAAAAGAGAAAGTGCTTGTAGTATAGGGAAGCTAAGAAACTTTGGAATGGTTTTTTCTAAGTGTAAATAAAATTTATTATGCCTTAATAACTCTGCTTTTAACTACCTGTAAATACAGGTATCTGCTCAAAAGTAGTACAATCCTAGCAGTTGCTTTTCTACTTTGAATTGACATTAAACTAAGTGTAAACTTAGAAGGGCTTCCTGTATTTGCAGAGATGAAGCTGCATGCTTTGCTATTCAAAAGGGATTACAAGCATCTCGGAGTAATATCAAATTATTTAAGCATAATGACATGACAGACCTTGAACGACTGTTGAAGGAGCAAGAGACTGAAGATCAAAAGGTACACTCCTTACAAAAATATCTTAGTTTTTATGTCTCTTCTGTCCCTTTTAGTGCTTTTAAACTGGATTCTATAATTGAATGGGCCCGATACTTACAGGTTTTTTTTGTAAATCTGTATTGAGCAATTAATGTTGCATGTTTAATTAAGATTGACTTTACTTATTACATTAATCACTGTTGTGCCTGGCAGTGAATTCACAGGCATTGATGGTAGAGGAATATCTCTACGGGTCTATGACTGGTGTATGTTGATTTGGGTTTTCTTGCAGAGCTTGCATTTTTTGATCTAAAAATTTGTGTAACTGTCTTCAATTTATAAATCATGTGAGTTAATTAACAGTTTCAATGCCACACCACAAAATCAACTCAGAAGTGGCTAGTCCTAACCCTCAAATTTACATCAGCAACATGATTTTTCTTTTTTTTTTGTTTTTTTTGTTTTTTTGTTTTACCTTTCTTAGACACCTTTCTTGTCTTGCACTCAATTCTTAAGATGTTCTGCCTTCAAAAATAAGGGTCAGTTCGATGGTTTACTCCTCATTCTGACAAATACAAGAGGGTATCCAAAAACAGCAACTAAAACCAGGGCCAGCAAGCACAAATACTCTGCTAATATGAGTTGTAAAATGCTTAGGTGAAGAGGTTACTTGAAAAGGCAACATTATCTTCCTTTCCTTCTCATTACTTTCTTTTCTTACCAACCAATTTTCAGAGCTTCACTTGTTACTAATTGTTGAAATTAACTGAAACCATTTGTTTCTTAAGAATCCTCGCAAAGCCCGTGTAACTCGAAGGTTCATTGTGGTGGAAGGGTTGTATATGAATACAGGAGACATTTGCCCTCTTCCAGAATTGGTAAGAGGTTTTGAATTGCCTTTTAAAGTAGATATTTCTACAAAAGTAGAAAATTTTATATGCAGCCTGTGGTATTTATGAGATTTAATGGTAAAAACAATTTTAAATTTTAAATTTTAAAACATTTTTTTAAATACCTTTAATGACTGAACACTACTGACATTTAGAGCTGACATTTCTGCAGTATTCCGAATATTGTAGTTGTCTGTCTTAACAATGTCATCCTTCACCCACTTTATGACCAAATTTTAATGGTTGTTACTTGTATTTTATATAATTTGCACTATTTTAGATAAAATTGAAGTATAAATACAAAGTTAGAATATTTTTGGAGGAGAGCCTTTCTTTTGGAGTCCTTGGAGAACATGGAAGAGGAATCACTGAACACTTTGGAATAAATGTAAGTGCCATATTTTTTGCCTTTTTTGTTGTGAACAAGAGATTTGTGCAAAAACAATTTACAGAACTAGTTTCTTATGTCTGTGATATCTGAAATACTTACTAGTCTCAGGTCTCTGCATTTTTATTTCACCTGCTTACTTGAAATCTTTTTTTTTCCTAATACTTGTGAGAAGTATTGTAAAAAATTTTTACAGTTTCACAATTTTATTCTCATTTTGAATGCTCAGTGAGATAATGATTGCAGTGTTTTCCTGCCCCATATGCTTCAAAATACCATGCTTACACAGAAATATTTGAATCTTAGGGGTATGTCAGAAAATTTTCTCTGTTTATAGCCAGCCCATGTTGTTATATTGCCTTTTTCTCCAGTGGGGAGAAAGTAGGAAAACTTTTCTTGGTTCTCTTATTGCTTATATCTTCATTCTAATATGTGATAACATGATGCGTCTTCTCCAGTATTCATGAAAATATTAAGAAGATAAATATCTTCTATACTGCTTTGATGTAATTAAAGGCATCTCTTAATAACTTGTTAATTTAACTTGCAGATTGATGATATAGACCTCATTAGTGCAAACATGGAAAATTCACTGGCTTCTATTGGAGGATTTTGCTGTGGAAGATCGTTTATAATTGACCATCAGGTAAGTCTTTTTTTTTTTAACATGATGTGGCAAGATGAGTTACACAAACATTAGTAACTGGTATCAATTTGCCAGGAGTAATATGATATGCAACATTTGATTCAGTTTAGAAACCGACTAGTTTTGAGAAACATTGCGTATGAGTTGAAAATCGGTTTTTCATTACTTCCATTAGCCTAGTGATGTGGAGAACAGGTTTAAATATGTGCAAATGAAGATACTGTCAATATTGCTATAAATAAAAAGGTGTATTTTTTTCTCCATAGCGATTGTCTGGTCAAGGCTATTGCTTTTCTGCATCCCTGCCTCCTTTATTAGCTGCTGCTGCTATTGAGGCTCTAAACATTATGGAAGACAATCCAGGTACTTAATTCTGAAGAAAAATCCCTTAAGAAAAATCGTATTCTTGAGTCGTTTTTCAACCCAAAACAACTACTATTCAGTTTAATTCCTCACCCGTTTACTCTTTTACATCTTCTCTCCTTTACAGCTGTTTAATTTTACGTGTGTAAGTTTTTCACTCAGAGGTGGTGAAGCACTGGAAGAATTTGCCCAAAGAGGTGGTGGATGCACCATCCCCGGATGCGTTCAAGGCCAAGCTGGATGTGGCTCTGGGCAGCCTGGTCTAGTGGTTGGCAACCCTGCACACAGCAGGAGGGTTGAAATTAGATATCTTTCAGGGTCCTTTTTAACCCAAACCATGATTCTATGAAGTTTTAGTTTACATAATCTTACATTATGCCTTTTTTTTTTTAACATCTTTGATGTTTCCTTTCTTTGTCACTTGTATTTAGAAAGGAAAGAGATGATAGTCATTAATCACCAAATAAGCAATTATTCTACTTTGTAGACTTGTAAGAGATTTCTTCCTTGAAAATAAATACCTTTAAAACAAATAGAGAAAGATGAAGTTATAGACATAGAAGTAGGGATGTATTTGCTTCATACTGAACAATCCATTCCTTTCCTGTTGGCATTCCCGAATTTTTTTCTCCTCTAAATGAGCATCCAAACAGGTGTATTCTGTCATCCTGATGGAAATATATCTGTGATTCTGGCAGCACCAAGTAGAGGACACTTTAATAAGGCAAGTTAGGCAAGAGTTTTGGCTCTAAGAATCGGAGAATTGCTTTTGTTCCTGGAATCGAAGAATGAATTTTTTTTGGTGTGAGAAACATATATAATAAGGACAAAATTGTCCCAGTTTTGTATTTGTTTTTAATATTCATTAGCATAAGCAGGTTGGAAGAAACCTGGAGACAAATGTAGTATTTAATTTGTCACAAATAAAAAGCAGTGGGTTTGTGTATTCCATACCTGGTCTTCAGAAATTAAATGAAAATAGGAGAAAAGAAAGATCCATCAGTCGAAATTTTCCATTTAAGAATCTGCAGTGAGTGGGTGAGAGGATCAAGGTGCAGAGCCTGCATAACTGTAGACATTTTATAGATAAGTTTGTAAATAAGTTAAATCTGTAATTTCAACCTCTTTTATCAAGCGTTAACATCTTTTTCCTATGATCATGAACCACCTGGATTTTGTCAGCTCTGTGATTTCCTTGCAGAAATGGGAATCAGGAGCATTTTGAAGAATAGTGAAGGGAGTTACATCTTCTATTTACATTTATCTAAATATACATATATAAAATATCTCTTAGATTTTCCTATTTTTTAATCATGGATTTACAAAAATTTAAGGTAGAAACAGGCGATATAAGCTTTTTTTTTTTTTTTTTTTGTCTAGACATTTTTCAGACTCTTCGGGCTAAATGCAAGCGAATTCACAGTGCTTTACAGGGGTAAGTGATTCCAAGTTTTTAAAACCTGTTGAAATGACATTATGCCTTATTTCTAGAAGGGATGTTTATAAGCCCTTGGACAATTCAGTCTTCAGAAGAGTGTTACAGCTCATAATAGTGCAAAGCATATTGAAAAGATTGCTTAAATAAAATCATTTTGTGTGCTAGTAGCTGGAGTTCTAGCTTAGCAGGTAAGCTTTCAGATGTCTCAAAGAGTCTTGCAATCAGCTTTTATACCGTATTGTTCTTCTGTATGAAACCTGAATCTTAAACAGCAATAAAATATTGATTATTCTGGAGACATACAGCAAACTGCTAGAATTAATTGGAAAATAAAGTTTCTGTTTCAAGTTCTGTAACCATTTTAGGGGATGACTGTTTGACTAATAGCTTTTTTTGATTGATTTTATTAATAAAAATATATACATTGAATAGTTTCAAGAATTATCAATTATATTATAATATAATATTAATAAATTATATTTATTATTTTAGAATTAATTTTCTTCTTCAGTTTTCTGTTGTGCTTTACAGGAAGTGAAGAAAATTTTACATGCAGGAAATCTGTGGTGTGTTTATAATTATTCTGCCTGGTTTTAATTATTTATTTTTAATATTGGCCATTTTTTCTGTATGAATTACTTGGTATTTTAAATAAGCATCTGTATTCTGATAGCGGTCTCCTGCTTCACCCTATGTTTTATGCTAGAGCGTTAGTTGTGCTCAAATTCTTTGGAGTAGTCTTGGTCTTCTTTTGCTGTGATTTATTTCAAATTTGTTTGAAATACTATTGTTTTTACGTCAAAAACACCTGGACGCTGTTATGCTTGAAATATTTTGCACTCACTTTAGAACTATGTGTGTCTCCTTTCTACTAGTAGAATGTTGTGACTAAGCAAAAAGGAAAATAACTGTAGTATTTTCTCTCTTCTGTCATTTTGAAGTGGCAATTGTAAGTATGTTTAAGTACAGGAAGAATTTGTCAACCTTTTACTCATCAATATCCAGTGCAAAACAGTAGCCTTTAGGACATGGCTGACCTTTTAAAATCCTGCGGTTGGTTCTACCTTACTTAATCAATTAAATTCTTTATACGGTTAATGTAGTCACAAATTAATACATATCCAAATTGCTTAAGTGTCCCCTAATAGGAGTTTTGAATTATGAAAAATACAGTGGTAACAGAGAAGTCCAAAAAAAAAAGCAAAACAGCAAGGGAAGAAGTTACTTCTTGGTCATTCTGAGGAAGAACTTGGAGGACTTAACAGTACAAGGCAATTGGGCAAAGCTTTAGCTGATTAAAAAGTTCATTACACAGTGTTGGAGGAAAGACTTGAGCTAATATCTACAGGATCATGTGTTTGTTTTTTTAATCAATAAAAATGCTAGAAAAAGTCTGCAATGGTTCAGAGGGATGGCAAAGTTTTGAGAGAGGTTCTTTGTGTTTATTGTAATACTGTTGCATTAAATACTTTCATCTTCCTTGCCTGACGATGGCTACTGCTCAACTGCAACTCTTCATTATATTCTTGTGACAGGTGAACTACTGGTTTAAGAGAGAGCATAGAGGAAAAGTAGAATTGTATATAAATAATGTGAAAAGGAACACACAGCTCTTCTCCTTTCTTCATGTACAGTAAATACAGTGACAGTAACAAATTAAAACCAACCTTAAGTGCATATCTATGGAAGAAATAGAAGAATTCTTCTGAAACCCTTATAGAATTACTTTCTTATTATCTGGGGTGGTTTATGTACCATAAAAGAACAGTAACAGATGGAATACCTGTCACAAAAAATCCTACCTTCATAAATAATCTTAGGTAATGTAAATTTCTGTCTTGTATTTTAAAACGTCTAGTATCTTAATAAATATATGAAGAAGCTCTCTTGCAGGAATACAGGATGCAATGGGAACAGAAGTTTTGCCTGTTCCAGATGCCTGACAGTATTAGATAGTGTCCTTTAAATAGTTCATTACTTACGACTTATCCTGCTGAGATTTTTTTTCAATAAAGTTTTCATTGAGGTAAAGCAGATTTATTTCTAAAGTTTTCCCCTCCTGGCGAAACTTGATGGTTTCTCACTGAGACCTCATCCTAGTTTTCTGTTCAGAACACTGGCTGTGATTAACATCCTTTTCTATGACTATCCTTTCATGCAGAATTCCCTACAATTAAGAGCTTATTCTTATCATTCAGTTCTCCAGTTTGGCCTGATAACTAACACAAAGAGCCTAGTATACCTTTTGGACTTGGTAAAATTACATGCATACTAGCACATTAATGGCAGGAGACATCCCTGGTCTCTGGAGCATGCTTGTTTTCTGTTTCATTGTTAGAATGGTCTGTGGCATGGATTTGGCCCAAGCTGAGCAACACACTTGAAATTAACTCCTGGATACGGTTCAGGAATTAGCTAGTCAGGAAGCATTCCTAGTAGACAGATAGATGTGGCCACCCTGAGTTGGAGACTCGAATTTTTAAAACTATGGATGTGGGTCATTCCATATTTGTTGGCCTTAAGACCAGCATCATCTAGTCCAACCATCCACTTACCGCCAACATTTCCTCTCTAAAACATGTCCTTTAATAAAGTATCTGCTCTATTTTCCAATACTTGAAAGGTGATTATAGCAAGAGCAGGGCTGATCTCTTCTCACTGATGACAGGTGACAAGACGAGGGGAAATGGCCTCAAGTTGTGCCAGGTGTAGATTGTATATCAGGAAAAAATTATTTACAGAAAGGGTTGTTAAGCACTGGAATGGGCTCCCCAGGGAAGTGATTGAGTGACCATGACTGTGTGTTTAAAAACAGTTTGGATGTGATGCTTAGGGACATGATTTAGCAGAGGGTTGTTAGAGTTACGGTAGTATGGTTATGTTGTGGTTGGACTTGATGATCTTGAGGGTCTTTTCCACCCTGAGGAATTCTATGATTCTATCTAAATGTTTCTTGAATACCTCTAGGAATAGTGCCTCAACCACCTCTGTTGGCAGCTCATTCCAGTGCTTCTTTTTGGAGAAAAAAATTTTCCTAATATCCTACCTGAACTTTCCCACACACAGCTTGAGGCCATTCCTTCTCATCACTAGTTAAATGGGTGAAGAGGCCAACCCCCACCTCACTGCAAGTTCCTTTCGGGGAGTTGTACAGTGCAGTGAGGTCTCCCCTGAGCCTCCTCTTCTCCAGACTAAACAATCCCAGTTCCCTCAGCCACTCCTCATTAGAATTGTGCTCCAGACCCCACACCAGCCTTGTTGCCTTTCTCTGGACATGCTCTAGTACGGAGGGACGATCACCTTCCTGCTCCTGCTGGACCTCACTATTTCTGACATAAGCCAGGATGCCGTTGACCTTCTTAGCTATCTGAACACACTGCTAGCTCATGTTTAGCTGAGTATTGACCAACATCCCCAGGTCTATTTCTTCCACACAGCCTTCCAGACACTCTGCCCCAATCTTATAGTGTTACAAGGGGCTGTTGTGGCCAAAGTACAGGACCTGACATTGGTCTTGTTGAATTTCATCCTGTTAGCCTCAGCCCAGTGATCCTGTTTGTCCAGATCCCTCTGTGCAGTCTTGCTACTCCTAGGCAGATCAGTGCTTCCTTCCAACTTGATGTCTTCTGCAAACTTACTGAGGGTACACTCAATCTCCTCATCCAGATCATCAGTGAAGATATTAAACAGAACAGGCCTCAGTGTTGACTCCTGAAGAATACCATTTGTGATCAGAGTTATATACGTCAGGACTGTAGCAACCAAATTCTAAGGTGCTGATTAACAGCTGTCTTCAGCTACAGACATGAGAGCAATTCTGTTGGAATTACTAGTGTTTAGATGAGCTTCTGATTAAGTAGCAGAAGGCGCTTTAAAGATTTTCTATAGGAAATCAATAAAAATCAAAAATTTTGCCAAAAATAAAGCTTATTTCATATCATCACATAAGCAGGTAGAAAGGCTTATCATTATTTATTTTCCGAACTATGACTCTGAAGACTCAAGTTTGCTAGCTGTGTTTTCATTAGTAAAATAGGAACATATCCTAACATTTTTCTTCATCTTTGGAAGGATCCTTCTACAATTTTTCAGTCTTTTGCAAAAGTTATTAGTTAGAACTAAGTAATCTAGAAGTAAACTAGTTAACTAGTAAACTAGAAGTTCACTAGTCAGAACTAGTTATTGTTTCACAAATTTGCTAAAACTACATTTAGTTAACTGCAAGAACGGTGCTCTCTTGTTTTGTTATTTTTGCCTACTGTGAACTGAAGTGTACATGTTTGGCCTGCATTATTATAATGAATAGTATAGATATAGATAAAAGTATAATAGATATGGAGAAAAGTGGAAGTAATCTAAAACAGCTAGGGAAAAGTAATAGAATGCACCAGAAAAAAAGTGCTTCAGTACTGTAATTTGAATAATTGTACTCAGGCTTTTGTCAGTATTTTCAGGAATGCATAGCTTCTGTGAAGATTATTAAGAGCAAATATGTTCCTGTACGTATTGATTTTTATGCTGTAAATACTAGCATGGAAAGCTATTAATGAACAGCTATTTTTAATGTTAAAAAAATTTAATATTTTCTGTGAAACATCCTTCTCACTTCCTTATCTGGAAAGCAGAAACACTTACTCTCTAGAACTTCAACACTTATGTACTAGCGTGTGGGTTTTTGGTTTTTTTTTAGGATTTCTGGCTTAAGAGTAGTGGGAGAATCGTTTTCTCCAGCATTGCACCTAAGGTTGGAAGGCAGTTACGGATCTCGAGAAAATGATGTGAAGTTGCTCAAGAGAATTGTGGATTATGTAAGTGTCCCTTTAACAGTTAAAATATATCATTGCTTTTCAATGTGATAGTGAATGAAATTCAAATGCATGGAGTGACTTGTGGGTAATTTGTAGAGTATCCTGTTGGAATGTCTTGCAGGAATGCTACAAGAAATCTGCTTCTTCACTGAGTCCAGGGCTACTAAAAAACATCTTTTACCAATTTTTCGTTGCACATGTTTAGTTTTGTAACATTTGACAAAAGTACATATTTCTTGTTTATACTTTAGAATATGGTGTTATCCTGTTGTGTACTTCAAAACTCAAGTTCAGAACAATTGTTTAGGAAACTTCTATGATGTTCAAAGGAAACTAGGCTATTGTCTGAACAGAGTTCAGTTGGTGTATTTTAACTATTACATACTTAGCTTTCAGTACTTTTGCATATTTGCAGCAATTTTTTGTGTGTGAAGAGAATCCCATGTTTTGAATATAGTATCTTTTTTTTCTATCTGTACATTGGCTTACTTCCTCTATTGTAAAATAGATGGAAAGTGATGGGGATATTTTAGATTTCAGGTGGCAGATACACAAGACTAAACCACAGACAAAAACTAGATTATCCTTGAAAATACTCTGAAATTTGTTTGAATGGCCTAATGAACATAGCATTTTTGTCGAATTATTTGGCGAGGAAAGCTGAAGAAGCTACATCTAACTTCCCCAATTTTATCTTTTATTAAAATTAAATACTCTTTCTTGCACAACCGCCAAAACTTCCATTTAGGGAAGAGTTATCGTGACACAGTAGTAGTGAAGTAAGTTATATGCATTCGATGATCTAAATGATATACCTTTAGAAATTGCCAAACTCTGTTTTTATCTAAACGATCAACCTTGTGTTTTGTTTTCTTTGGTTTCTCTCTGTGCTTTCATCCATAGTGCGAAAATCGTGGTATTGCATTAACTCAGGCCCGCTACCTGGAGAAGGAAGAAAAATGTCTTCCTTCACCCAGGTAAGTAGAAAATCAATATATTATTTCATTTTATGGGATATGACTCTATGTATGTTTTCATGCAGCAGAATTTTGAGAAAAGATTCTGATGCACTGAAGTAACAACTATATCTGAACTACCTGAACCCTAACAATCAGTATGGCACGGTCTTTGCCTGTTTACCAGGCATGTTTCATTGAGCTGTGCGTGTGCAGAAACAGAAAAATTTCTCTCCACTTGTAAATATGGAGAACAGGGTGAAAATATTCTGACCATTTCTACATTTGCTCATGTGTCTTGTGTCTGGTTGAATTTGAATTACTACCTAGAGCTAGTAATTTTAATGTTAGTACAGGAAAAACCTAAAACTGAAGACAAGGATTATATGTGCGTATGTTGTGGTTTTCTTTTTCTAGTATTCGAGTAGTGGTAACAGTGGAACAAACAGAACAAGAACTGGACAAAGCTGCATCACTTATTAAGGAAGCTGCAGAGTCTGTACTGAATTAACCCACAGTTTTGGATTCCTTTTTCCTCAAATTATAAATGTTTTACACTGTATAGTGAACTCCACTTCAGATATTAAAGCTTATCCACCATAGACATTAAAGTCTATCTAATGAGATTGTTTCAGGATAGTAAAAATACAGTGATGTATAGAATCCTGAATTTTGAAAATGGTGAATGACGCAATGTACTTAAAATTCAAAATCTACGAAACATTCCTAGAAATGAAATATCACTGTTGCATGCAGGTCTTTTTCACAGGTTTCATCTTAAAAAGCCTTAAATTTATTTCTTCAACCCCCTAAATGTTACCACATACATGGAGAGAGAGAGAAGAGGAAAATATGTATACATATGTATATAATTCATTTTTTTCTCAATAAGCGTCTAAAATATGTATCTCAGTATGTAGGAAGTTCACTTGCTTTCAGAATGAAATACTAATGAAATACTAATACTAATAGTACCTTAAGAGAGAAATAACACATTAAGAGATAATTTTGTGCTGTATTGCGTCATTCATCGTGGGAACTTCAATTCTTACTTGTTTATATCTTTTTAACCATTTCTGAAAGCAGTTTCTCAGAATGCCTAGTCAGATGATTGCTATCAAAATGTAAACTAATGTTTAACACTGTTTGCATACTGCATTTCGTATGTAAATATGCATATTTGATTTTATGGGTGAGATTTTTCTTATCAACTTGAACACCTAAACTGAAACCTCCAAATTGTGAGAGTATTGCAGTATCACTATAGTGTGTTCAGTCAGGGGTCTTTCGCACCACCAGTTTTGAAGAGGAGGCATAAACAATGTGAAGAACTAAAGTTTTGAAATGGCAAATGAATATAAGCTTTTTCAAACAGCTTTGGAGCACTAAAATATGTGTATTAAGTTATAGCTCTGAACAGCTGCTATCCATTAGAGTAATTAATTAGTAATATTTGGAGTTTTATGCTCTTGTAATTTGCAGTAGTCACAGATGGATAGAAACATAACACCAATCTGAAGAAATTGGTAAGGATGGATGACAGTAAGCCATAGCTTTTAATAAAATAAAAATGTATTTCTGCATATTTTTAACAATACCAGTTCAAAAAACGTTGTGTTCTACCTGATCTGTATTCGAGTTGTTTTATACTTATTTTTGTTTTTGGTTGCTGCTACAAGGACTACAGTACTATTTTTGAGAAAGATCACTGTTTAAATAAACATTTTATTCAAATTTATATATATTATGTACTTAGTCATGTACTTAGTAGCATGATTCAGCCATATTTTGTAGAGTATTCTGCATCAGATGAGCGTAGTCTGTGTTGTCTCCTTCAGTTCTTAATGACTCCATCTTTGCTGTGATTTTCCAAAACTTCTGAACTTTGTCTTTTTAGATAAAACCTGCTGAAGTTACTCTTGAGCACATTTGTTACTGATACTGCCAGTACTAGCAATACTCAAATAGTTTTTTGTGTACAGCAGACGCTTCATCACAATGTACAAAAGTATTCATATTGCATTTACATTTACATTATTCTGTCTTCACTTTGACTAAAATCCTGTGACAAGCCAACTATGTTAAAAAGCAAAAATGTGAGGATGGAAGCTGATTCCTGTTTTGTGGACTAGAACTGACATGCCTTTTCAAGAGCAATCAGCCTTCTCAGATTCTTAAGAGATTCTGAGAGATGGAAATAAGAACTAACCGGTAGGCATTGAGCTTGTGACCCATTTTTGGTTTGATAATACAAAACTGAATTTTCAAATAAAATCAAGCTCTTTGGCTGAGAACAAATGAAGGGGTTGGATTCCATTGCAGCATTATTGTTTTAGAGTTCAAGGTAAGTCTATGAAGCTAGACAAGTAACTGATCAGCGTTAATATAGAAGGTTGTAGAATCCATACTGACTCCTTCCATTTTAAATCGTCCTGAAATAGAGGGTTTTTGTTGTTGTTGCACTCTCGAGAACTAGCAACAAGCTTTAAGTCTGTGGCAGATTTGTTTTGTTTTCTGTTGTTTTTTTTTGTTTTCAAGTAAAGTGATGAAACCTGAATTCACAGGAAGTTGAGCAGGACTTCTGTCAACTTCAAAACTTTTCTCATGACACCAAAGTTCAAATATGTTGTTAAGAGCTGTTATCATTAATTCACATAGCAAACACATATCCAGCATTAAAACATTGATAAATCTGCTTTTATCAGTTTTTTGCTTCAGTAACTGTTTAGGAAATCTGCACTTGGATGACACTAAAGTGGATTTCTTTCTGTTTTTAGCAATTCAGTTATTGTTACTAATGTGTTTTCTGCTTAGAGGTTTTAATTTCTCTTTGAGAAATTCTCAAAGAGAAATTGAAACGCTTAAGCAACATACCGGGTGGGAGAGAGATCCCTTGTTCCTACCCCTTATAGTTCTTTACATAGAGAGTGGTGAATTGCTGGAACAGGCTGCCCAGAGAGCTTGTGGATGCCCCATCACTGGAGGTGTTCAAGGCCAGGTTGGATGGGGCCCTGGGCAAGCTGGTCTAGTGTTAGATGGGGAGGTTGGTGGCCCTGCCTGTGGTGGGGGTTTGGAGATTTGTGATCCTTGAGGTCCCTTCCAACCCGGGCCGTTCTGTGATTCTGTGATTGTCAGTCTGACCATGTCTGGTCCTTTTTCTCTCTTCTGATAAATGTCTCTGTTTTACATGAAAAGCAGGTGAAGAAAAAACAGTGACTAGGGGAAAATGTTCAGGTTGGGAAGATAGCAGGTGGCAAACTTTTGACATTAGAAAATCAGACGTGGAAGTCTATTAACGTGCTTAAATCCTTAGTGCTCTTTGCTGATAAATGTATGGACAAGCCGGTTTTAGTTGTTTTGTGGCTTTGTTTGGATGACATGGGGCACTTTCACTAATTTCTTCAGATGCTGGAGTGAGATTGGGGTCTTAGTACACAACAGGAAAGATATTTAGGATCAAAAGCATACAGGCTCATATCCTGAACTGTGGCAATGAGGCATGGACTCAGACGTGAACGATCCAAATCATTTATTATATGTTCCCACATAACCTCTAAACATTCACAAGATTCCTTTTGAGCTTTCCCATTCACAATTACAACTTTCCCATCTGCCTTTACATGTCAACAAAGTATTGCACAAACGCTCCTTAGCCATGCATGCAGGTGCTTATCCAACCAGAGCCATGGACTGTTCCTTTGGGTTTTTTCTTCTAGAGCTGTCCTTGCTTCTCAGTGTTGCTTTTTCATGTTGTTTGTCTTGCTTCATAGCTGCTGCTCTGAATAGTCTTTTTTGTATTCTCACCATTCCCCCTTTTTTATTTATTAGCAAACTACCACCACTATTTACTCTAAAATAATAGCACTACTTATATTAATAACATACTAATCAGAACTCAATCAAGGCCTTGATTGAAAACACTAAAAACATAAGAAAAGAGTTACACAGAAGGTCATGAGTTTTTTTAGCTGATATGTGCACACTCAGGCAATCTTAGACAATTCCATGAGTGGGAAATGGAAGATCCCTAAGTTAATGTGCTATTACTTATTAACTCCTGAGAGACAGCAAAACACCGAAAAGGAGAGAGAAGGAGCATGCTGGCATTGGATGTGATAGGCAGTGCCAGCAGGGCATCCCCTGCTTTGAAGTGCACTTTTCCTCTCTCACCCGCAACAGACTCCTGCTTTTATTCCTCTCGGGGTCTGCATGGTTTTTTGTATGGAGGTCTCTGTGACCAATGTGTGATGCAGAGCCCAAGCGGAACACCTGCTCAAAAAACAAACTACCGAAGCTAGCTCTTTCTACAAACAAAACAGTTGCAGAAAGTATTCACAGTCACAGCTGCTTATTCCCACGGTTTCTTGCTGACCAAAGTGAGAATGTTGCCATCCACTCCCCGACATTGCTAAGTGGATCTACATTGCCCAAGTTGTCATTAACTTGTACAAGCTTTTTAATCATAACTCTTACACAGGATATAATGCAAGGGATACAGGTAAAAGGCACAAAAAAACTGATGCATTAGTCCTAACTTAATTAGTTTCTGAATCCAAGGGTCCAGACATTGAAACCACACAGGTAGCCACCCCCATGAATTTCCCACACATAATTTCTGCACACCTTTCTGCAGTTGCTGAATACTTTCATGGATGGAGGTGGAAGGATCTGTTAAGTTCATGCAGCACAGTCCTCCAGTGTCCTCACAGCCATGTCCTTGTGTGAGAAGCAGGAAGTCAATAGCAGCTCTGTTCTGCAGTGCACTGTGACAAACTGAGTTGACATCCTGTAACAGGCCCGAAAGTGCTTGCGAGGTTGCATTGGTCTGTTTGCTAAGCCAACATCCTAGCTTAATTAAACTAACTAATGCTTTAGCAGCTTCTACTAAGAGTGAAGAGTGATGCAAACGTAATTGATTCCCAGTTGCAAAATATAATCTTGTCTTTGCAATCAAAAGCATGAATATTTCTTCAGATTCTACCATTTGGTGTTTTGAAAGGATCACAGTCAGATTCATCATTAATAAGGTCAACCTGCCCTAGGAGCAGGGCCCTCCTTTAATATATGATGGAATGTTTAGCCATGTGCAATCTCCACATATTAAAAATACTACTCGGGGTAACTGAAGGTGTAAATTACTAGATATTGAAATATTTGAAGATGTGTAATTACACAAGGGTGATGCATTTCTATACGCCAGCATTGTAGCATTGACTGACCATGAAAGAGATTGATTGTTATAATAACTGAGCAATACGCACCAATCCCTTATTACCGATCTCAAAAGTTCTAGCTCCTATGGGGTAGTGACAGTGGGGGCGAGTGGGGAACCCATTCATCCATTTTCCTCCCCGGACCTTCTCTTCCTGCACAACTGAGGAAGCACTAGTGGTGTGAGCCAGTTGTTCTCATTTTCCTTGATCAAGGGGAAGTCCTACCAGACACGTGGTAATGGGGAATCAGGGGATGATATTGATAAGCAGAGAGTGTTCTGTCCAGTGTTGCTGGCAAGCATAACCCACACATTAGTCTTAGTGTGCAGGTACCCATACAGCTTTCATGACGATGGTGCAGCAGATGAAGGTGATGTCAACAAATGAGGTTGCACTGCCATTCCTGGCATCCATCATGGTCCTGCACCTATAGAAATAAAAGCAAAACCTCTCCCCCAAGTTATCAGTGGGAAAAGGCCTTCCCATTTACCTGATTCCTGATTCTTTACTAATACACTAGCTTTCCCATGAATATTCATTCTTTCCGTGTTTTCTGAAACAAAATGATGGGCCATCAGTGGTCCTCCATCATCACACCATTGATTTAAGAAGTTCGATACGTGTGTGGCTTTAGCAAGCCTTTCTGCTGGAAGTGCCTTCTCCATTCCCTCTTTTTGCTTAAGTAGCATAGCGTTAAGGGTGCTGTGGGTACACTCAGCTATGGCTTATCCCATAGGCGAGTGTGATACGCCACTGAGATGTTTAATTCCCCATAATTGTAGAAACTGTAATACTATCTGAGATACATCTCCCAGGCCATTTTCTATCTTAATAGTTTTTGGGTACCCCAAGAATTGCAAAGGCCAGAAGAAAATGTTTGCAGATGTTGCAGGCCTTTTCCCCAGTATGTGCTGTCACTGCTATGGCTCTGGAAAAGGTATCCATGGAGATGTGGACATATTTAAGTCTTCTGAATTCAGGGATGTGTGCGACATCTGTCTGCCATAATTCCAGAGCTGTTAGGCCTCAGAGATTATCCCCATGCAATAGAGGAGGTGTCATCTGTTGGCAATCAAGGCATGCTGTAATTATCTGTCATGCCTGAGTCAAGCTAAGGCTATAAGACTTTTGCAGTGCCTTAGCATTCTGGTGAAAAAAGGCACGTGACAGCCAAGCCTGCTCAAATGAATTGGGAAGAACAGGAACACCAGCTAACTGATCAGCTTATTTGTTTCCTTCTGTTAAAGGTCCTGGAAAAACGGTATGCGATTGGATGTGTATTATAAAATATGGCTCCCATGGAGAGAAATAAAGACTATATAGCAGCATGAACAGTTGTTAATTAGAAATGTCTCTTAGATATGATCCTTCTAGTCTAGTCAGTATTTCTGTAACATAGGCTGAATCAGTGATGATGTTAATTAGACTGGACCATTTTTGAAATACTCTTACAACTGCAGCTAATTCTACAATTTGTGGAGAGCCTTTTATTGTCTAAATATCCAACTGCCATCAGCCAGATGTG